AAGAGTGTCATCAAGGCCTTGGCCTCCCTAGTTTTGAAGGTTCTCATTATCCATCCTGTCATTTTTCTAGCAGTTGCAATTGATATAATGTTATGGTCCTCGAAGGTGAGATCCTCCGACATGATCACTCCCAGGTCTGTGACGTTTGTTTTTCGCTCTATTTTGTGGCTGGAATTTTTTTGTACTCTGATGAAGTTTTGATTTCCTCGTGTCTTGACTGTCATTTGGCATGGCCGACGCGGCAGGTTGTGTAGTGGGCTAGCTGCAGGATGTTCAAGGATAGCTCCTGGTCAAAGAGGCTGACCAGGTCCCTACTTAACAGAACTCAGTGTGAATGCTTTGAGAAGATACCAGAGCAGCGAACGGACATCCCAGTGCATCGTTTTAGTGTAAATAGTTGAAGTGTTGTGCAGTTTTAGAGGGTTTGGTGTTGTAGAGTCAGGACCAGTCAGCGCCTCCCCCCCTCTCCGCTGGGGGGGAGGGGGAGGGCGTGTGTAGTAAACAGTGACCCTCTCATAATGCCTCACCTCTGCGCGTCTCCCCCCCCTCACCCACCCAACTCCCAGCGCCACCCCATTGTAGGGGTACTTTTCCCCTAACCCACGATCTCAGCGATGGCACTGCAGGGAGTGCCCGGGCTCACAGGAACTTCCCCTCCAGGGACAGCATCGTGGAGTTCGACCGCGAGGCAGCTGCCAGGTTTTGCCACAGGCAGTGTGTACTCAGTTCCTCAAGCTTTCAAAATCCGTGCACACGAGGGCCCCGGGATCTTCAATCAACTTGGCGTCCACCAGGGGCGCTGACATGTCCCTAGGACAGCTCTCCATGGGGCTGCTAATGGAGTCACTGGCTTCTTGGACCTCTTGGGGAGGGTCGGGTGGTGCTCGTGCAAGCAGCAGATCCCTGGGCAACTTGCTGCTGTTTGCAATGGCTGTCTGCCGAGGAAGAGGGCAGGCACCTAGCAAAATCTGTTGTTGGGGGCCAATGGATGAATTCCCTACTATGTTTGTTAACTGCTCATTACTCTGTAATTTGTCTATGATTGTAATCAGCAAAGGGACATTCATTCCTTTGAAAAATTTCTGATTGTGACCAGCTTACCTGGGCCCTTACGTTTGTGATAGAAACACAGGCCAAGGTTTAGC